GGGTTCTATAAACCTATGATTATATTATAAGATATCTATATCATAATGTTATAGAACTTATAGAAATTTCCGTAATTACTAAAATTTCTGCGAAATTTCTGTAGTTAAGCACATGTATCATTAAATGCTGTTTGTGGAAATTTTGGTATTTTCGGAAATTTCTTTTTTTGGAAATCTGAACATTCCTCAAATATTCAATAAAATTCAATGTTAAAAAAAACACAACTGAATATTGTTGCCGACAATTTTTTATTTTACATCATATACCATTTATATTGCAACTGCTTGGTAGTATATCATAAATGCTTGATTTTGATGACCAATCTGATGTTATTCATACAAATAAAATTCAACCAATTAATTTAATTCGTTTATTAATTGCATTAGAACAAACAAGTGTTGATGCAATGAGAGATGATTATTCAATATTAGAACTAGTTAAAGATGATACATCAACAAATAAATCATCTATTATAACATCAACAACAATATCTGTAGCAAATATGACTGTTGTTGCAGAACTTGGTCAAGGAAGTATGATTGCACTAGCTACCATCAAAACCTTGGATTATTGTTATGGTGATGATGATACAATTTTTACTGTATTAAATTGTATTGATGATTGTGTTACTGTTGGTAGGTTGCGCATTATTAGAAGGAAAGGAATTTTATCATCCGGAAGTTGAATAGATATAGAGTTAGAAAAACAATGTAATCGTATCAAAGCTTCCTATTAAGAAAAATTGATAATATAGAAGACTCGAAATATTGTTTGGATAAATAAAGAGAGATGAAATAATGAATATGTAGACATACAGGGTGAATCATAAATATATATACAATAAAAAATTTGAATATCTCCATTGCGGCTTGAGCAAACAAGCTGATTTTTTTTATCAATGATAGAGACATGTTCGAAGTTTATATCCATAAAGGCATGCCCAGAGAGACCCTTTGTTAAGTATCACTATTGACCTCAACAAAAAAATTTTACTTTTTCACAGATAGAAAAAAAACAATGTATTTAACAGAGGGTTTCTTTAGGCATGTCTTTATGAATACAAAGCTTGAACATATCTCTATTATTGATAAAAAAATCAGTTGGTTTGTTCGAGCCGTAATGGAGATATTCAGCTTTTCTGTCGGCAAAGTGACTTTTGTTCCACTCTGTATATTGTTTTTTTTAGCCGATCTGTAAAAAAGTAAAATTTTTCTGTTGAGGTCAATAGTGATACTTAATAAAGGATCTCTCTAGGGATGTCTTTATGGATATAAACTTTGAACATGTCTCTATCATTGATAAAAAAATCAGCTCGTTTGCTCGAGTCGCAATGGAGATATTCAAATTTTTTATCGAATACATATTTATGACTCACCCTATATATAGGTAAATATAGGTGTTAAGGGTTCAAAAGTTTGTACCTTTTGTTATGTTTTATCTAGTTTTCACTTCCACATCGGCGTTTTAAACATCTTGGAGAGGATCAACTAGATTTGCAAAAGCACGCGCTGAATAAAACACTGAGCGTTTGTGAATATTTATTCTTAATAAAACCCTTAATGTTCAAAATAATTTCAATATTTTCTGAAATAACGCTTTCGTAACTCTAAACTAGAAATGTTCATCACAGCTGAAAATCTGCTGCTGCTGCCACACCGCGATGATATTCTAAAATTCCTTGTTATCACTGTCAGTTTGCATCCACGAGATTTATCAAGATTCTAAACGTTGCATTTGTAGACACTCAAATTTCGAACAAGTTTATGCAATTTTCCAATGTCTCCTAAAAAAAAAACAGGTAATCATTACCGCGATCGACACCTCTAATCTAAACCCTTTAATAAATAAATTTAATAATTTGTTTTTAGTTACATATGTACTTGATTCAATTCGTTCATGAAAAATGTTTGGCATAATAGATTAGATTTATTATTACCAAAATATTTAGAATATTTAACAGATCGTACAAATAAAAATGATTCATAAAGATAAGAACGTGAAGAAGTTAAAATAATTGGAAAACTATCTATTGGTATTAAAACAATGATTGGAGCATCAGAATCATTAACACGCACATTTGTTAGACCAAAACATGATACATTAACAGGTATAAGTTATAAATATTCACGTGGATCAAATTGTTCACCATCAATTGTTTCCTATGAAGATTCAATGAGGTTAATATTTCATTTAATTCCAAAAGAAAAATTTTAATATTTTTATTTTCTAGTCATTTTATTGATGATCGAACAAACGCTAAGGCTTAAGATGGTGATAAACATAAAAAAGCATCTGAAGTTCGTTGGTCACGTGATACACTTCTATTTGTAATATCAACATTTGCTCATTTTTCAACGCAACATTTAAAAGAATTAATTAAATTAATAAATGATCGAACATTACGTATTCATGAAGCACTTAATGCAAAATCTCATACATGTCTTGCTAATATGGCACATGCATTACTTGAATTAGATGGTTATGATTCTATAACAATGTCATATCGAGGTATACAAAATTATTTTCAAAAATTATTACCATGAACTAATTGGAGTCAAGAACAATTACGACCAGCATTAAATCTTTTATTAAGACGTATTGATCGAATGTTTTCTAAAATATGTAACAAAAAACAATGAAAAAAAGTAAAGATTGAAATAATAGGAGAATAAATATTTGATATATTTTTTTTGACTTTTAACGTTATTTTGATTAGGAAACAACAGCAGGAATTTTAAATGGAATTTATTTAACTATTGATCGTTATCCATATATATGGCTTATTTTCCTAATCTCAAAGTATAAAATAAAAATCTTTTTGTAAAAATGATTTTATTTTTATATAAATTAGGCATTTATTTCGGGATGTATTTCACTTGTATTAAATGAAAATGTCTCAAAATTCAGTCATAGTGTACTATGTTTAGATACACCAACTTTTCCAAAAGAATTTTCTCGAGTAGTTATTAAACTTGTTGAAAGATATTTATTAGCAATTAAAGTAAATTAATATGTAAAAATATTTCATAATTTTCATTTTATCTATACAGAATCAACCAAATTTAGAAGCATTAACTGGTAATAGTTGGACATTTCCAAGTATTTCATCAGTAATAAATTATTTATTACATTTTCTTTTACCATTAATGTTTTGGACTGATAGTGAACGAAAATATGCATCAAAAAGGGTGTGAGTGTGGGTTTTCATCTGTTTACCCATACCCATACCAAAACCCACTCACACCCACACCCAACACCATCGAAATCAACAGAAAAAATATTAAATGGTTTAATGCAAGAATTAAATCAATTAAAAGCGGAATTAGAAGACAAATGTTTAATTACAATAATGATTTAATAACAAAAAATATTGGAAATTCTGTAGCCGTAGTAATGACGACTACAAGAGAAATGAGTCGTACAAGTTCAGCAGATGGAAAAAAGAAAATTATTTTATTGAGAGCACTACAACGAAGAAAACCTGATGATATTCCACTTATTCACCTATCATCATGTCGTTCGCTCTTTGCATGGACTTTTTCGATTGAAGTTTAAGAGCATATTTCATTATTCAGTAGGAATAACTTTTCTTTTTCACAGTTTATTTTATTTTTTCTTATTTAGATAAATCAAAATCATTATTTCCTTATGAACCATGTTCAGCTGGTACTGAAAAAGTTCAATTTGATACTGGAGTACCTGAAAAAATAAAAGATCGTGATGGTAGTACTGGTATATCCGCTGCTACAAGTGATGAGTGATCAGCTGGCAGTCGAACAACAAATACTCTTCCTATTCGAAGACAACAATCAAATGATAGTAGTTTAAGTGCATTCCTAAGAAAAAAAAATTCGAGTTAAAAAGACATTAGATATTCTTGAAACTTACCATGCAACATATTGAATTTGATCAGACAGTAAGATTTTGTCTTGAAACTTTCAAAATTAATATCCGATTTGATTTAATTAGCTGGAATATCTGACATACCCGTTCAATAGAGAGAAGATTTAACATTAAAGAACCAGCGACTCCTATTTTATTTGGCAAATTTATTTGTTTGATCATTTCTTCAACCATTTTATTGAATTTTGATGATAGATACTCCACGTCGTCAATCATCTTCAAATCAAAATCCACCTTCTCAATTATCATGTTCAATAACCGTTGCTGGTGATCAAAGCCTATCAATCACTCGACCATTTCAATATACAACGGAAGAAGATGATATCGATCAATCAATGATAAATAAAGAAACTGAGCCTAAATTACGTACATTTCGTAGCTGACAACGAGATACAACATATTTAGATAAATCTCGATTAACAAAAGGGTGTGGGTGTGGATAAAAGAAGTACTACACACACACCCATACCTACAATCACCCTAAGAGTGAAAATAAGGGATTAGATACAATTTTAATGGGTTAAGTATAGAAATAAGGGATGAGATATAGTTTTAAGGGATTAAGTATAGAAATAGAGGATTAGATATAGTTATAAGCGATTAAGTGTAGGAATAAGGTGTTGAGTATAGGTATAGGTATACGTATAGAATTAAAGGTATGGCGAAGTCGATGAGGCTAATTGTAGTAATGTAGGCGTTGGCACAATGTTCTTCGTGCGAAAACTTTTTTATGTTTCATGAAAAAGTTTCACACGAAACCTTGCCTATGAAACCTTTTTTTGCGGTTGTCCAGAAGTGGTTTGATGCGAAACATTTTCCCTATAAAACCAAGAAAAGGTTCTTCACGCGGATACAGGGGAAGAATCTTTTTTGGTTTTGTGAAAAACCATTTCTGTCTAGAGTGATTGGCTTCAATTTGAATAATCACAAAAACTTGTTTTTTTTTGTAGAATAGCGTATCAACGTTAATCTTCACAGAAAAAGGTTTGCTTTTGAGTTTATACTAGAGTCCTGTGAAAACAAATTTTTCCGCTCCTGTTCTGTAAGGTGTGGGTGCGGATTAGTGCATCTGTTAGTATGAGCCTTCATTTAAACCACACCGACATCTTTATGAAAACGTAGCCGAAATGTCGGGCTATCGAGTTCACTTTGAACCATTTTCTGTTGTATTGTATTGTCTTGTCGTAGGAAAGTACACATTATCTGTCTATTCCACTACCTATGAGTTCATTTTTAATTATTTCTGGAACCACTATTGTGTCGAAATCTTACTCAAATGATCTGAATTTAGTGTCGAAGTATTTGCCGACTCAAGGTCATTTATTTCGAGTATGATAATATTCGATTGGTTACAGTAAATCCAATGTTCCGAATTAATCCCTGATGTGGACCAATCCTTTCTATTGTAATTGTTTTTGAAAATCAGAATATGACTTTAAATTTGTTAAAACGGGTGTGATAATATTCTCTATCAACTGGAGACAACAAACTGCTGAAGAATTAGATGAAATCAAAGACTACGCATATAAGTCACAAAAGGATTAATATCACGAGAAACGAGGTTAAACTATGAATCACATTGTTGATATCATGTTAACTAGCGAAAATGTAAATAGTAAAACTGATATTTGCAAACATTATAAAAAATATGGAAATACTTACGGCTTTTGATTTCTAGATTACTCGTTAATCTTAAGTTTATTTGTAATCTTACAGACGAATATTTTTTCACGATGTCTTCACAAGCCCAAGAACAGAATGGTTCATTGGAAATCACGCGTGATTTAAGTAAAATATCGCTTGATGGGGACAAATCGAGCAATTTCCAAGTTACGGCAGGTAAGAAAAGTGCACTCTGTCACCTAATGTTGAATACCGTTTTTCATATTCTCAGAACCTTCGCCTATTCCTTCCAACCATCATGGCGAACAGGTCGATTCAAACGAGACTGATACACGAAAACTCACAAATAAAACAACAACTGCAGAAGTCAACACTTCGAATACGGTAAGGTATTTATTTTTCTAGCGGAGGCTGACACAACTAACTGCGCACGCTTTTCATCAAGAATTTGTCTTATAGGTAGAAAGAAAACCTAGAAGGAAAATGTTCATAGACGAGAGAAGATTTCTTGATTTATATAGTGACAAGCCGCATTATTATAAAGGATGACGACTATTTGGGAACGATGAAGCTGTTTTTACACGAATTAAAACTATGTTTCCTGCGATGTCATGCTAATCTTTCACCTTCTGTGCCAGCTTTCACTTTGAAGCAGTCTGGAACTTTGAAAACACATCTAATTTCTAAAGATTGCAGGAATTATGAAAAAGAAATGGAGTTTCTTACAAAAACATAGGAAAGTCATTAGGTCTTAGTTCGGTCTAGGCAGACAAGATTTCTGAAAACCGCGCTTCAACACCATAAGATTTGTTCTATTTGGGCGTTTCATCGTGTGTCTGGTAAAATAATTCCAAAAATTTCTAAAAAGTGAAGAATGAATGGCGATAGGACCGTTTTTCATCTCTCATACTTTTTGCATAAAAACTACCTAGACACAAGAAAGCACTCATGTGGAACATAGTGCACGACTCAGCTTTGGAAGAATCATCTAATGGATTTTGGTTATCCTTACTCAGCCCTTCGCTGCCTCAATTATTAATCGACAATATTTTTGCTCCTAGTTATTGGAGTAGCCACATCACTCGACGCTCAATTTCAGTAATTATTAATATCTTCTAAATATTTCACAATAATAACGTTTAACTCGACTAAATTAACTTTTGTTGTTAGGCTTATGTACCGACAAACACTTAGTGTTGATTGTGAGAAGTTATTAGGAACAGGTTTGAATCAGTCAAGCATGCTTTTATACGTAAAATTGGATGATCTATCTAATGGATATAAAATGATGATTGCTAAAGCTTAAAATTCAGCCATATTTGGCCTGTAGACCAAACACATGGAGACAAACTGCTGGTTGCTTACATATTGGTACCTTTTCTTGTCAATAATCTGTTCTTGGTTCCATCTTTGTTGTGCATGTTTCGATGAAAATTTTTAAACAGATTCTGACAATGAGTCCGAAAGTCAAAAGAAGCATTCATTGACTGTTTCTGCATGAATTTCAACACGTCGTACAAAATAGATGACCGTCTTCGATGAAAATTTTGAGCTTTATAGATCTACTTATACTAAGAACTTTAATAAAAATCTTTTTAAGAAGCTTTTATTTTGACGGAGGTATATCCAAAATGCTTTACACAGTAAAGACCAAAAGAATGCAGAAAGCTTTTGACGGGTGGCACACTGGCTGTGACTGTAGATCATCTTCATACCTTACGCTGCACCCATATCCACACTGAGTGCGTACTTGATGTCGTCACTATTAAGTACTGCTGAATTGTAATTACACAATGGCAGCATCTATGGAAGGTAACAATAGTCTAAGTATAATTTGCTTTTCTATTTTTTGTGCAAAAACAGAGATCGTTATCTCATTAGATTTTCTTGCTTCGATTATCTTTTATAAATTTTTTCTACTACCAAAATTAGCTTTATAAAGATGTAAATGATGAAAATATACGTGGCAGATGTATTTAAACATTTTATATCTTATGTAGGTTGCAACGGCGTCTGCTACAGAAGAGAAACAAGAATTCAGCTTTATTAATATTGAAAATCAATTTTGGAAAAATATTGATGAAGGTAGTAAAAAAGAGTTGTCAAAATTAAAGACAAAAGTTGTTGGGTGCTTGGAAAATACGTCTTCGGAGTTAAAACGGTATGAAAAATCGATTGATCTTACGATGTATACATATGGATTCATAGTGCAACATTTATATGAAGTTCTGCAATGCAAATTAAACCATCGCAAATGTAAAAAGAATCTAGTTGCACGTTATATTATGAACTACCAGAGTTCTATAAAAAATGAAGAGGTAATTTTGAAACACTGAAGTAAAGAACTACTGTAAAAGTCATTTTATTCTTTTAATGGAACCATTAAAATCAAGAAAAACATAAAGTCAAATAATTAAGCAAGCTTTTCCGAATAGTTCTTTAGTCATCGTCAGACCTATGACTAGCCACTTAAACGCTCATTTGTACAACTTTTTCCATGGCCTTTCCGTGTACTTTAAAATATAAACATCAAAACCACGAGTTCTCTACTTGCTGATGATAGGAGTATCATGTTAAAATCTTGCACAATTTTTGAAGTATGTTAAGACTTCTTTAAAAGTAAATTTCTGAATTTTCCAAAAGTTTCTCGCCATCACAATCAGCACAATACATAACAATAATCAATATATTAAAGCAACCTCAGCCTACGTCTTCGAGACATTCTGGAAATAGATGCGTAGTTTTTCGAAATTACTAGGAAATTTCAACAATTGCTAAAATTTCCTTTTAATTTCCTAAATTATCGAAAAACTCCAGAAATTTCTCTTTTTCCTAAGGTAGGAGTTTTCTTCTTCTTTTTACAAGTATTCATATGTTCAGAAAAATATTTGTTTAGAAATTTCGGTAAAAAACTGAAGTTTACTATTAATTTCCGAAATTACAATTTAATTTCTGAAATTTCGCGTTTTCTTACGATAAAGTTCTTTTCTCTTTTGTATATACCTATTAATATGTTTGGAAAAGTACTCACATAGAGTTTGATAAATAGTGAAATTTTCTTTTGCGAATGTCTAAACGTTGCTGCATATTTTAAATTTTTCTGTGCGTTACTTTTAAAGCTGTACTTAGCAAAATACAATGATTTTTACAGCAGTCCTTTTTTTCCTTCTGTAAAAATTATATATCACTGATTCAAGTATTTGTTTAGGACCTGCTAAATTGTGACAGATTGGCAGAAACTATTAGGTATTTTGGTCGCGAATTTCTATGGGGAAGTAACTATGATGGATCTGAACACGCTCGACAGCCAGGTAATTGCTTGCTATTGCGAAGAGGTTACAGCCCGTTGAAATATGAGACAATACCAGGTGAAAAATTGGAAGACCCTGAAGCTATACTTCTCTTACTACTGGAAATTGCACGTCGTCGTGTTAATGATCCTCACCGTAACAGGAACGCTGGTGGCTTGACAGATCAATTTTCAGATTTACCAGTGGGGCTTGGTATTGCTATGGCATTTACACTTATCGAAGAAAAAAAAATAAAATTCGAAAAATTTTGGAAGAAGGATGAACCTTATCATATGTTTTCTGATGATGAAGAAAGTCGCCATAAAGCTTTTACGAACATTGCTGAATGTTATGCGAAAAATCTTGCATCGTGGAAATCCAAAGAAGAGCAAGCAAAGGATCTTTCAAAACTCATGGAAAACTTCTACGGTAAATCATCAGGTAAACTACTTAAAAAAGTGTGTGGATGT